AGGATCAGCACATACAGTACATTCCTCTTTTGGAATGTAAACGATTTATGGTTTGTAAACATGGCACTGGATGTTAAGGAGCATTTGGAATGAAGCATTTAAACTCTTCGTGCACTCCTTATGCATAGTTCTTGCACTAGTGAGGGAGACAATTATATAATTGCTCTGCATGTACACTTAAAGTGTATCACTCTGCTGTAGATCCTCAAATCTTCTCTGAATTGGTGGGAACACTGTCTTTCCTTCTGGAGGGTGGCTACATTTGTTCTCCATGGTCCCTGTGTGTTGTAAAGAAGCCACCGCTCCAGAAGGAAGGACAGTGTCAGCACCAATTCAGAGATTTGTGGATCTACAGCTGAGTGATACACAAATAAGATACATTTTTGTTAATAGTTATGGTACTTGAGTGTATTTTTAAGATGTAACTCCTCAGTTAGGTGCCACTTTAAACACCGGTAGATTTTCGTAATGAACATTTACATGAAAAATCTCATCGAAATATTTGGTAATGCCATGAGAGACTTGTGGAATGTCGTTGAAATTTGTTTTGATTTTAACATTCGATTTGGGAAATGAAATGGAGTTTCTCGAACGAAAACTGCATTCACTTTAAATATTTCATTCATACGAGAGAGAAAATTCCATCCCACTACCTAGTTCTTTTCATCACTCGTTGATTTGACCCCATGAACTACAAGAAAATCATAGAATGCTTTGAGTGAAATTCTACTGGTATATGGCAAGCTTTAGGTTATACATTATATTCCCAGAAGTATTGAGATGCCTGCCTTTACACGCACATGAACTCTAATGGCATCCCAGTCTTAGTAAGTTGGGTTCAATATTGAGTTGGCCCACCCTTTGCAGCTATAACAGCTTAAACTCTTCTGGGAAGGATGCCCACAAGGTGTAGGAGTGTGTCTATGAGAATGTTTGACCATTCTTCCAGAAGCACATTTGTGTGGTCAGGTACTGATGTTGGATGAGAAGGTCTGGCTCGCACTCTCCGCTGTAATTCATCCAAAAGGTGTTCTATCAGGTTGAGGTCAGGACTCTGTGCAGGCCAGTCAAGTTCCTCCACACCAAACTCGCTCATACATGTCTTTATGGACCTTGCTTTCTGCACTGGTGCGCAGTCATGTTGGAACAGGAAGGGGCCATCCTCAAACTGCTCCCACAAAGTTGGGAGCATGAAATTGTCCAAAATGTCTTGGTATGCTGATGCCTTAAGAGTTCCTTTTACTGGAACTAAGGGGCCAAGCCCAACCCCTGAAAAACAAACCCACACCATAATCCCCCCTCCACAAAACTTTACACTTGGCACAATACAGTCAGCCAAGTACCGTTGTCCTGGCAACCGCCAAAACCAGACACGTCCATCGGATTGCCAAACAGGGAAGCGTGATTCGTCACTCCAGAGAACACATCTCCACCTCTCTAGAGTCCAGCGGCGGAGTGCTTTACACCACTGCATCTGACACTTTGCATTGCACTTGGTCATGTAAGGCTTGAATGCAGCTGCTCGGCCATGGAAACCCATTTCATGAAGCTCTATACACACTGTTGGTGTGCCAATCTGAAGGCCACATGAAGTTTGGAGGTCTGTAGCTATTGACTCTGCAGACAGTTGGTGACTTCTGTGCACTATGCGCTTCAGCATGCGCTGACCCCACTCTGTCATTTTACGTGGCCTACCACTTTGTGGCTGAGTTGCTGTTGTTCCCAGTTGCTTCCACTTTGTTATAATACCACTAACAGTTGACCGTGGAATATTTAGTAGCAAAGAAACTTCACGGAACACCTGAATCCAATGATTTGGAGAGGTGTCCCAATACTTTTGGCAACATAGTGTATATTCTAATGCATGCTTGTTCTTCATACAGAGTAACATTTTATAGCCTTAAATCACAAAACTAACCCACCAGGACAAGGATAATTATTTTAAAAAAAATTGACAGTTTACTTGGAACCAATGTGCTTTGAAAAATAGAGTCACATAGTTAACAAATAAAGATACTTATACGTGTGCAAGGCCCCTTTCACACACGCCCTTCCCAGTTCCAATCAGAGCATCCGTGTCCATTCAGTTTTTTCGATGAAGGGAAAAACTGAACTTACTGGACCCATGTTAGGTCTATGGGGAATCAGATGTAAACGGGCATGTGTCCATTTATCCAATACCTCTGATCCGTCATCATCAGGTCCACCAAAATGGAACTCTGTTCTGTTTGTTTTTTCAGACTTGGCTGGAGTCAGCGGTAAATGTATGTAAACAGATGCACATCCATTTAGGTCCGGCTGCCCTGGGCTTATGATCAGATCGACCTGAAAAACTGACAGGCGGATCTGACCAGACTGCACGTCTGAAAGGGGCCTTAAAGTTTTGTAAATTGAGCCTTCTATTGTATTTAGATTAACAGACAGAATAATCAGTTTACTCACAATGTTACCTAAACAATGAGAGAGCAAGGCTGGTTAAGATTAAAAAAAGGAACATTTGTCAAGCAAGAGGCACACATAAAAATGTCTCAGAATTCGTGGGTAACAACGGCCTTCAGATGTCAGCCATCACTTAAAGGGAACCTGACATGAAATAATATTACTGCTGTCATTCCTGAGTAACTGCTGTTTTTTCATTTGTGAAGAACATTCAGTCCTTAGAGAAAAGCTCAATAAAAATAGCATTAAAGTCATGTTACGCCAGAAACTTTGTAGTAGCTACAAATCTCTGCTGATTCTCTCTGGTCATTTGTTGATAGCTGCAGAGTTGTTGATGTAGATGGCTACAACACTTGTTCATACATCTGCAAAATGCTGGTCTGCCATGATCATTAGCAGCTTTCTTTCTTTACATGAGTAGCTAATAAGGCCTGGCTCACACCCAGGTGTTTTTGAGAAGTAGAAAAAGCGCTTTTAAACGCCCAACACAAGCAATCCTATGATTCTCAATGGCCCCTGTTCACACCTGAACAGCAAAATGCCAAACTCAGAAAAAGTATATGAGCTTTTTTTGGCAGTTACAAGCTTGTTTTTCCCCCATAGACTTCAATGGAAATGCCAGGAAACGCGTGACAGAAGTATGTTGCACATTTACGTGTGCGTTTTTGCGCATTTGTACACGCGTTCGTCCATTGACCTCAATGGTTCTTGAGCTGCCAGTCAAAACGTGCATCTTCATGTGTGCACGTTCTCATGCGTGTAAAATGTGCCACATGAGCATAAATGTGCGGTCTCCCCAGGGGTCCCGGGTTGGTCTCAGCAGGTGTGGGCGGCAAGGATCCACAGTAAGGAGAAGAGATTTTCAGCCGCCACTGTAAACAGGCGCCGCGATTCACAAGAAGGCTGCCGGGACCTTGCTGGGGACCTCCTGTGTTTGATACAGTTACAAAGATCACACTTTTCTGTGCGCATATGGTGCAGGGCCACATGAAGTGGCCTGGTGGGCCGGATTCGTTTTTGACACGCGACTTAAAGTATATGTCTGGGGGAAAAAAAATTGTCCATCTCCAATATATGCACATTTCCCCACTTTGTATCCCTTTTAAAAATGCTGCAATCACAGAAAAATACATGTAGATCTGCCAGAAATCCAGTCTGCTCCTAACTATCAGTTTGGGCTGACAACAGTGCCTTTGCTGCAATGGAGTCCTAATCAGCATAGCTAGCCCTGCTTGCTGGACTACAGAAATTCACCTATCCCCACCCCACTCTGTCCCTCTCCATATGCATACATTGATTTATTTATCTGCCAAACAATTTCTGCTGCCTCATTCACACCGCATCTGTTGATATCCATTCTTCCATGGATGCCAAGGAAAAGTAACCCAAAAAATGTATGGGTGTGAATAGGACCAGTTTACACCGCTTCATTCCGTTGTGTTGAAGTACGCTGAAAAAAAAAGTAGAGCATGCTCTACTTTTTTTCAACACAGCAAAGCATAATGTAACACAACAAAAACAGATGTAATTGCAACACAAGGGAATGGAAGTAAAAAACAAAACAAAAAACATAGATGTTTGTCCGCTCAGGACATGTTAATCAAAGTAATTAAAAGAAGTGCAATGGAATGGAACAGACCGCAACAGAAGTCAATGGAGGTTGAAATTGCAAGTCAACGGACCTCTGTTGACCTACGTTTTTAGGTCCGAATTTGGTGTAAACGTGCCCCGACTCACACACTGTGTGTAGGGAACTAGCTCTTGGGAGACATCACTCTGGGAGCAGTTTTTCTTATTTTGGAAGCATGGTGATGATGTCATTGGGAAAGGTAAAAGCTGTTTCTTGCTACAGGAACAAGTTAAAAGAAAACAATAATGCTGGAACATGCTTTTGAAGCAAAAAGGGAGGTTTGGGAGAAAACCCGGGTCATTCAATTACAAATTCTTTAAAGCATATTTGTACTTTGCACATATTAAGCAAAGTAACATGTTTGCTTCAATGGAAACACCATAAACTACCATTTACTCACTTCTGTAGGGCAGTAGTCTGCTATATGTTGGCTTTGGGTCACAGGAGTACATTAGTAAATGTAATCCTGTGACCCAAAAGATAGGTAAAGCCAGAAAAAAAAAGATTTGGCTTTATTTCACTTTTAAATATTACTCATCATGCATAATGCAGAAAAACATATCAGACGCTAAGTCAAACAGTTCATCTTTGACTGTTATTTACGGTTTCAATTCTCTTAGCAATAAATTAGAAATAATGATTGCTATTTTTAGCCATGTGACTATTACTTTTAGTTCTCGTTGCTGAAACGAATGGCTGTTATGGAAAATATCAATTGTTATTGCTTAGTAAAGTAGTGAGCTTTATGTGTCAGTGTCCCAACCCTTTGAAAAGCAGCAGTTGATCACATCTACACACACACCAACACACACACACACACACACACACACACACACACACACACGTTTAGACATCTGTGTGGCTCCATGCCAACCAATAGGGAGTGACAGGAGGGACTACAAAGCCACCTCCTCCCTACATTCTCTTTCTATAGATTCCTATTCAGACACATTCGCTGTTGTAAGGACTCGGGTGGATTGTTTCCTTCTGAAATTCTGGATGCTTTGCTGTACGCCCTGACAGTACAGAGACAAGACAAGCAAGACAAATCAACCGAGCCATTGATTGCTGGTGGGTATTGCTGTATGTTTGTTGATTTAGGTATAGGTTTTGTTTTTTTATTGGCTATGAATGAATGACTGAGCTGTAAAGATGGACTAGCTTTAAAAATAAGAGTTGTTTTGTTTATTTTGTAGCGCTACTGTGTTAATAGGCATTGGTAAGAGCCTGTGTGATCGCAAGGCTTTAACCGTGTAGGTTTGATGTTGGCAAGCCCTGTAAGGGTTAAACTGCTGTTTAACGTCTTTGTTTTCATTTAAATCCCATGTGATACAGCATTGCAGCTCACCATGGTGTGAAATGCACACACACACACACACACACACACACACTTCTCTGCAAAGCCTGGTGTAGCTTCACCACTGGAAATTGCGTTTGATACAGTTAAAAAGATCACTCTTTTCTTTGCGCGGATGGTGGTGCACATCTCCTATAAGGCTCAGTTCACAAAGCGTTCCACAATGATAATGATCTTTAGTTTAAGCCATGTCACTGTCATTTTCAAATCTCATTGGACTGAAAATAACTGTCATTATCTACCAAAAAAATATATAAGAATCCTTCTCCTGGTGTTTCTGCTTTGTGCATTGAGCCTATGGCCAGTTATTTGTTCCTGTCTCAGCAGTAAAGCTGGGAAGTGCAGCTTTGTTTAACCCTGAACAGCAAATCCCTTTATTATGTAGGGCAAAAGCTGTGTCACAACATAGGATCAGTAAGTATGCCATTAACTCCTTCAAAGCCAGATGTCACTGGCAGCCTTCACAAGCTAATGGGCCGTGGGTTCTGCTAGAGATGGCTTCTTCTTCTTTTTTATAATCAGTGCAAAATGCAGTAACCAGGAGCGACCAATCAGAATTCTTTTAGTACAAGAAAAGCTTCCTATGGGCGCTGCACTTCACTCCTTTTCCGCTCTACGTCCATTGTAGTGAGCCTTGCAAAATTCAAATTTCATTCAACAAAAGTGTTTTCTTACGTTCTATTTTTTATATATATTCCGCATTTTCCTACGTCGTTTACGAAAGGACTCCCCCCAAAACTATATATAACTAAAATAGTAACATTTTGGAAAACTTGTAATTCTATCTATGAAATTAAGTTTTCTTTCCCAGGATAAATTTGAAGGTAGTATTTTTCAGTTTGTCTACTACTGCTCTGTGATAGGCTAGCCACAAATTGGTCAGTTTCTCTCTTTTAGTCCCCCAGACTGAATGTGAGAACTCATTAGATTACCCCATCAATGCTAAACAGTATGGATAGAGGAATCCACGCTGCCAGGTCCTGCGGCTGCTGAATACCCGAACAGTGCCTGCATCTGATTGGGTGCAGGCACTGTGCAGCCAATAATTTTCCACCTAGCTCCTTCAACAAAAGTCGTTGAAAAGGCAACTTTTGTTGAGTGATTTCCACAGGGCTGCCCACACACATGGGTGTCCAGAGTTAGATACATTGCTAAAGATGATCGTGCTCTTATCTTTGATGTTTTATGAAAAACGGCATCCCTGTAAGAGCAGGGGTGGGTAACCCCTGGCCCTGCAACTGTGGTAACACTACAAATCCCATGAGACATTGCAAGATTCTCACAGCCACAGGTATGACTCCCAGAAACAGATGCATCATGGGATTTGAAATTTCACCACAGCTGGAGGGCCGGAGGTTCCCCACCCCTGCTGTAGAGTAATGTTGGCTAAACGCACATTGAGGGGAATTTACCAAATTTGGAGCTGAAAGAAACTGGAACAGTTGCCCATAGCAACCAGTCAGCTTCTTTCATTTTCAAATCTTAACTGAACAAACTAAAAAGAGAAGCTGATTGGTTGGGCAACTGCTCTAATTTCTGTCTGCTCCGGTTTTAATTAATTCCCCCCACTGACTTTGTATAGTTTATTCATGTTAAATTTGGATTCTCAAATACATTTGGAAGAATTTTTGTTGGTGTCACACACATTTTATTTACTTATTTATTTTTAAAGCAGAATTCCAGCAAATATTTGCTTTGTATCCTCTAATGATGGATGCCCCAGTTTTGGAAATGCTGCTGCATTATGTAAAACTCATAAAGCGGGCTTTATTAAAATCAGAGAAGACAGAATCTGGAGCAGTCGCCTATAGTAACCAATCAGCTTCTCTTTAGTTTGTTCAGTAAAGCGTAAAACGTACAGTTCCGGCTCATATACAGTGCACTAAGGGATGATAGTGTGTCATTCGCACTCCACCTCCATTCACAAAACGTTTTGTATTTTCACAGATTGTGATCGGATGGGGGGAGAGGTAGAGGAAACTCACGATCTCCCCTTGTCCAATCACAGAACGCCTGCTTAAGTTAAAAAAGAACTTCGGGCAGAAGAAAACATAACCTTGGCAGTGGGGCTACTCCTGTACTGCAAGGGTTAAATGCTCGTTTTGATTTTCTGAGTACGACAGAAGGATATACTCTCGGCTTGTCACTTGTACGCTGTTTTGTGTGTGAAGACTCACAGGTTCTTAGACCACCATCCTCTCTATTGTCCTGATAACAATTGTGACTGTCTGAAAATCTAAAATCTCGAGTTGTCACTGGAACAGAATTAGAAGGGAAATATTCCAATGGGGGCATTTGTTCAGGTGACAACTAAGCAAAGATTTCGTTTGGGGAGATCTCCTCTCACTTCCTGCTGTGTCTCAAAACAGGAAGTGAAGGAGAATCTCCCAAAGGGGCCCAGACAGCAAGAAGAATAAATAAACTTTAAAGGGTAGTTCAACTATTCCTTACTTGATCTAAAACGGGGGGAAAAAAACATGTTTTGGCTTTAGATCTACTTCTACCGCTGCTTTTAAACATCACATAATCAGACTTTTTCATGGAATGACACTAACTGATCTCACATGGTTGTTATTCACTGAGAGTGTCGAGATTTTTATATCGTCTAGATAGCTATTCTAAGGGCGATGTGGGAGGTGAGAACAAAGGCAGATATAAACAGTGCCATGTAGGAGGGATGTTCAAAAATAGACATGTTTCTCTGTAAAAGGTGACCCTGAAAAGAATATCTTGGCAAGTATAAAATGTTGAACAATTTCTGAATTTGCATCTAAATAGTGAAAATGATTTTTAAAAAGCAACATCTAAACTAAACCCTAAAAATAACGTAATCCAGCACAATGTGCCTAGCAGCAGCAATTTGTATGAACCTGCTAGAAATGTTTAGAAACCTTTTTTTCTTTATTGCTTTCTCCCCGCGCTATCCGCAGCGTCCGTTTTCTTTTCACTTACGTTTTCAGTGGACATATATTTCGGTCATATGCACTGCTTTACTTGCACTACACATCCCAAAAAGCATTGTGCCTGCCTATGATAATGAGCATGCGTTGTTATTTTCATTCATTAATACTAGTACCACCCCCACAATTGTTATCCGCTGAGGACCAGCAAAAAATGTAGGTGGTGCTCTGTGGTCAGAGATAGTATGAATATTAGGTTTCCAGTGCATTTATGTGCAGAATGCATGGAAATGTTAGAATGTAGACCTTCTAAGGAGAGAGCAAAGGATGGTGGCTACATTAGCACATACAGCTGGGCCATGTAGACTGAAGGTAGCCACCCTCATAACAGAAGTTGGATGACACCTTTTTATAACGTGATATTTTCTGGATCTACTAGCCAACCCTGGGGGTAAAGATAAACAGATGACATTAAAGGCAGTAACGAATATGTAATTATTTTTTTTGGTATTGGGTTTAGTGACACTTCAAAGCAGGGGTGCCCATTAGGTAGATCGTGATCTACCATTAGCTCTCAAAGCTGATGCTGGTAGATCACGAAGGGTGTGAATGGCGGCCCCTTTATTCCATTTTGGTATATTTATTAATCTGTGTACATATGATTACCTATTAGCCTGAATCTGCTGAGCCAAGCTCCCTGACACCTTTCTGGTAGATACTGGTGGTGGATACTGGTGGTTGAAGTGCTATGTATTACATCAAAGAATATTACTTTACCCAGCCTGTTGCACTGCACTGTTTGCAAAATACAGCAAGGTGAGCTAGGAGAGAAAGCGGGGAGAGACAGACAGGAAAGAGAGAGAGGAGAGACAGCCCGGGGAAAGAGCAAGGAGAGACAGCCAGGAGAGAGAGGACAGACAGCCAGGAGAGAGAGAGCGAGGGAGGGTTTTTTTTCGTTGGTAGATCTCATCTAGCTCGTCATTTGAAAAGTAGATCTTAACACAAAAAATTGTGGGCACCCCTGTTTTAAAGTAACCCTGTGCGCAGAAGCTGCCAGCACTGACCACCCTTTCTGAAAATACTAGATGCCTATATGTCATGCTGGTCACATAGCTTGAGTATTTTCCGAGTACATTCCCGTATGGAGATCAGGAACAATTTAGAATGTGCATACTTGTTCAGTACTCTGAAAGTATTAAATCTATTGGATCAGTATGAGATCCAGGCAGCTATTATTTTTGGAAGAGGAGGTTAGCAATGACAACCTCCATCACTACAGCTTTCTGATAAGATTAGATTCAAGATACCGCTGTCCATATTTCACAAGAAGAAAAGGAAAACATAAACTAAGGGTGACATTAATATAAGGAGTTCTGGTAGAACATCTTGGAGTGCAGGGAGAGATATCTAATCCATAAAGAGCCGCTTAATAGCTAAAGTAGGGTATACATGGTTAGAATCGATTTTGGAATGTTCGTTCGACTTTCTAATAGTTGATGGGGTCAATTTGATGATACATTTCCACTGCAGTAGCTCATAACGTTGGAGGAACATGTTAGAATTATGAGAAAAGTTATCAAACAGTGAATGTGGTTTTTGTTCAGGAAACTCCAATCATTCAAAATCGAATGTTAAATCAAAACGAAAATCAAACCAAATTTTGAACGGTGTTCATCAAGTGTCTGATGATATTATCAAACATTCCAACAAGATTTTTGATACGAAGGTTCATTTGAAAATCTACCAGTCTATACCCTACTTAAGTGTTAGCAGTCTTGTGTTGCAGCACTGGGTCCTTCAATGACCCAGGACAGTACATGTATGGAATGTGTAGGTTAATTCCATGTTTGCAAGGGCTTATTCAGGTGCTCCAACTACTTATTGCACACTAAACAGCTTCTATACAAATTAACCCTAAACTGACAGTACTTGTGGAACTTTGTCAGGGACCTTAGACTGTAAGATTTGTATAGTGTATGGCCAGCTTAAGACAGAACCTTTTTATAGATATCTATATATCAGACCAAAAAGAGGGACAACTGAGGAGGAAAGAGGGATTTGGTTCCAAAAGAGGGACAGTCCGTCCAAATCAGTGACAGTTGGGAACTGTGCATATAAACATAAAAATGAAAACACAGAGCTGACACCGAAGGTTTTTTATGAGGGCTTCTCTGGCTGAACCTATCCCTCCATGTTACCATCCATTTATGTGCTGGGAACTGGTTTCCAGGAGAGTAGCAACACAATAGGCAGATAGTAAGCTCCACATAGGAACAAATCTTCTGTGTTAGATGTTGTGGTTATGTAGGTGTGGGGTGTATTATTAGTAAGATTCTGTAAATATTGGTCTTGTACACATGAGCACTGGATTTGGATGTACTGCAGCATCTCCCTGAAGTCCCACGCTCACCAAGTTGGGGGTGGCTACAGTTCTAGTAAATGGAAACCACAACAAAAGCAGCCACATAATATGAATCATGTGAAATACTGCAGCAAAACCCACTTCTCAAAATACTTGTGTGTATTAAGACACCAGTCTAAGTACACATCTTTTGCATTGTGCACCCAGGGACATCCAGTGTGCCAGGAATACCCACTAAATAGATATCTGTTTTGACACTTGTTTGCACTTGGCCCTAAAGTAAAAACTTTACTTTGTTGAGAGGTTAAAAAAAACAGGATACTCCAGTAACTTCATTAAAACTTGTGCTGGGTATTTCTGGGGAAAAAACACAGAGCCGGTCACATGTGCAGAATTTCTAGAGCAGTTATATTTATAGACATCCCCAGTTAGTCACAAGAAATAAAAATTGTTCACAGTATTAGAAAATCTAGACCAAGGTTCTAACCATTATACACCATATCCAGTGTTTAAAAAACAAACAAACAACTGGACATTGCTTAAAAGAACAACATTAAATTGATTTCAGAATTGGTAAAAAAAAGTCAGTAACTTACAGTACTAACATTTCATTTTAATATTACAATGTATACTGGTGTTTTGACTCTAGCATATGCAGTATATCTCTGAAACACATGCTTTATCCCCTTACAGATGCTGCAAGTACAGACAAATACCTGTTCATTAGCCTGAAATGCACTCAGCTCTTAAAGTGCATTTCCACTTTTGCAGCCACATTGGAATAACATCTGCTTTATATTTGTTACATGTTCTCGTTTACATACAAACATGCCAAAAATAAAATCTGAGTATAGCTAGTTTTACAGTAGCCCTGAAGTGAGATAAACACTGGAGTGAGCTTATTCAACACTTCTTATATTCTATATAATAACATAAATTCAGTACTTTTTCAGTAACGTTTTTTCAATCCAGCTCTGAACGCAAGTTTTTTTTTTCTTCTATAGTTTTGAATAGAGTGAGAAAGGGTTGGAACTTCTGACAGGGTTGTATTACTATCGGTGACTGATTTGGGAAGATTTACCCCTATTTCCTGTCCCCTTGGCACCATGAGGGAATATGATTCACCAAGGCAAGAAGGTGCAGACAGAAATAAACCTAGACAAAGGTTCTAACTGTTCTCTCCTCTGCAATAAAATGTGTTAATGAATGTCTCTGTCACCAATCGAGAGATTCCCCATCACTTTCAGTACAGGAAGGGAACCTGTACAACTGTACAAGATGTAGGGTAAGGCTGGAGTTCAGCTTTAAACTGGTATGCAAAAAGTTTAACTTTATTTTCTATTTGAAATAAGGTACATGACGAAAAGTTTATATATTATAAGGACCTCTTGTTAACACCAAACCCTCAACAGTTTTACTGTCCCACTTCTTTCAACGTTGACTGTAAATCAATACTGTAATTCATTTTTGTTGTTGTGTATATATTGCTGATGGATTAGAACCCATGACAGTTTTTTGGAGTGGTCTTTGTCTCTACTAGAGAAATGTACTCTCTCTCTCTCTCTCTCTATTTGCCTGA